CATTTTTGTGCTAAAAATCATCAAAATCAAGCATTTCCTCGACTGTTTACAGATGGATTTTGTTCAAACTTGGTATATACATTAGACATTATAGGACCTTGATGCACATCATTTTGTTTTATAATCTGATTCAAGATGGCCGAATGGTGGCCATTTTTGTGCTCAAAATAAAGCATTTCTCAGCTGTTTACAAATGGATTTTGTTCAAACTTTGTATATACATTGGACATTGTAGGACCTTGATGTACATCATTTTGTTTTACGATCTGATTCAAGATGGCCGAATGGTGGCCATTTTTGTGCTATAAAATCCTAAAAATCAACCATTTCTCGGCTGTTTACAGATGGATTTGGTTCAAACTTTGTATATACATTAGACATTATGTGACCTTGATGCAAATAATTTTGTTTTTCAGATAAGATTAAAAATGGCTGACTGGCGGCCATTTGTTTTAATGAATGTGGTTCTCGTGCCTTAATTCTGACTTGCTTTCACTGATTATGTTCAAATTTTAAATATTCATTATACATCATGTCATAGATAGACAGATATATTGGTTTGACGATTTTTGTGCTAAAAACATCATCAAATATCAAGCATTTATGGATGGATTTTGTTCAAACTTGTGTTTTAATGAATTTGCTTCTAGAGCCATAATGTTAAACAATCATAATCATATTCCAGACATGGTTATATTCCAGCTATATTACTATAAGCAAAGTTATATATCTTAAATTTGATAACTAACAGGGACTGTGCCATGCATGGCTTGTTTGCATAATTAATTTTCAGCTTTTGATATTTTAAGTACTAAGTATTACATTTCAATGAAACTTGGTACATAGATACTCAAAGACTATGCAGAGATTGATTGTTTTGATGTAAATATTTATGCATATTAATCACCTAATTTGCATAATTAGTTAATTTTCAGCTTTTCTACGGAGACCTGCAATTGGCCACAATTCTAATATTTCTATGTATTTATGATTGGTTGGTAAAGATGACAAGTCATGATTGGTCTGACAATACATATATTGGCTTACTGGTGCACATTATTTCTCGAGATGAGCTTCAAGATGGCCAATTGTTTGTCTGAAATTATGTTACTTTACCAAACTTTTACAGACTAAATTATTTCCAAAGTCAAGAGAATTAGGTCAGTTACATTGACATTTTGCTGAATTAACTACCACACATTTCTTGAAAACTATACCATACATACTGTTAGATCTGTTTCCACATATTTTGCACAATTGTTATTCTTAGGGATTGTAGGTGAAATTGCTGAATCCGGTGATGAATATTATCTTTGGACCCATAAGAAATTGGAGATTGGTTACAACAATAACCAAATAGTGGACGTTAATCTGACGAGTGAAGCCAAAGTCAAATTAACACCCGGTATCAAAGTACCTTTCTCATATCAAGTGCAATGGAAACCATCAAAGATTGAATTCAAAACTCGCTTCGAAAAATACCTTGATCCAAACTTTTTCCAACACAGGGTAAGTACTGTGCTGAACACAATGGTACCTTGATGCACGTAATTTTATTTTTCAGATTGTGTTCAAAATAGCCAGTCAATTTGTTTTAAAGAATGCTGTTCCTGATCCATATATTCAACTTTCCTGAACCGATCAAGTTCAAATTACCCACAAACATCAGACATCAAATCGGACAAATACACATGCATTTTTGTTGCCATCAAATCTAAAATGGGTGACTGGCAATCATCTTGTTTAAACTAATGCGTTTCCACAGAGCCTTACCTCATACATGTCTGGACCAATCAATCATCATCACTGAGACACTCATTTAACAGATTCATCATTTTTTAAAACAGTACCAGTTTTTCTTGATTTATTAATCGTATCTCACGAATTGCAAGTTTACAAGTAATTTACATGTATGCTTTGCATAATAATGTCTAGTAAACTTGAGATATAATCCAAATAGGAAGTGGAACCATTTTGAAAACGGGCTTAATAGGATTCAAAATCATACATTTGTATTACTATTATATCTATGTATATGACGCAATACATTATGAACACATCTATTGCCGTCAAATGGCTGACATATTACTTGAAAAATGCACAAAACATTTTCAGGTTATGATTCGTTTCTCCATGCTGAGCATAGTGATGCTTTACTCTCGTAAAATCACACAATTTCATTATTTTAAAACTTTCATATAGATCCATTGGTTTTCAATTTTTAATTCTTTTATGATGGTTATATTCCTGGTTGGTTTGGTGTCGATGATTTTAATGAGAACACTACGCAAAGACTACGCCAGATACAGCAAAGATGATGAACTGGATGATATGGTAAGCACTGTGCCACATCACGTTGGTTTCAACTATTGTTTTCCTAATTGGTATTTTTACCATGCTTGGCAACTGAAATGTCAATTAAATATCATACATAAAATCTGTGCATATTAATTATCTAATAATCTGTTCATTTTCAGCTTTTCTACTGATATATGGGCATGTGACCTAATTAATAAGCATATTTGCTCTATTAGAAACACATCTGAAATAAATTTAATTAATAGTGAATTATTAAAAAATTAACTATTTTGACCATAAACACCTCTTAATTTACATAATCTTATGAGCTGAGAATGTCAAATATGGTAACTTTATTTTTTCAATACTATAATGATGTAGAACAAAATTTATGACAAAAATATCAATTCATCTCATTTTTTTAATACCTAAACCACTGCGTACCAACAGAATCACTTCTTGCAATTTTGTATTTGCTCTATAAGAAACATGTGACTGACAAAGACGAGTCTATGGTCAAAATTAGACACATTTCAATATTTAAGTATGTGCTTTTATGTTAATACTGTAAATACTGTAAATACATGTACTGTATACCTTACTAGTATTTATGCTTCAAATATCCATAGCACACAAGAGTTATTTCTAAAGTTTCTTTGATCTGTGTTGCAGATAAAGATAATGAGTGCGAGTGTTTTTATAACTATAAATCCAAATGTCTTGTGTAGATGTTTCACTCTAAAGAATACATGTTTTCACACTGAGAGGGGAGGGGGAAGGGAAACCTGTAAAATCTAATCTATATATGACAAACATAATGTGTTCGATACACATTCTACAATAACAAATGATTTCTGTAATTACTCTATCAGTATGTAACTACTCTATTAGTTTGTCCGCAATCATTAGTCTACGTTCAGGCGCAGCCTGAATCAGGTTTTATCAAAATGTCCATTTTCCGTCTCCAACATTCTCTCAGAAATTCTGCAGCAGATATCAGTGAAACTTGGCCAACATTGACAGAACGACTGCGCATGCTCAGAATAAATTAATTATTGTAAAATACTTTATTTTTGCTTGCAACTTTTTTAGCTCCGCTGTCGACTTTGTCGAGCGGAGCTTATCATACGAGTGATTGTCCGGTGTCGTCCGTGTCAATGTTTTACTTTTTCGACTTCTTCTTGAAAACTACAAGCCTGAATGCTTTGATACTTGGTGTATATGTACCTTGGGTAGACCTCTCTCAGATTTGTTCATTTCATGATGATATCTTCAATTCTCTAATTTTGGTGAATATGTTTGTCATTTTTGGTAAAAGTGATA